CATCAGCTTGTTTCTGTGCGAAATTAGACAAAACAAGAAATGTTTGCACTTTTCATGAAATGCATTTGACAGTGTGTGTCTGTTTTTCTGTGTGTGTGTGTGTGTGTGTGTGTGTGTGTCCCTGAGTGTGTAGTTATTTTGTGTGTGTACGTGAAGTAAGGCATCCCTGCAGCATGTTCTGTGCTTGCGTGAGCTCTCGCTGTGGCTTTCACGCTAGCTACTGAAATCCAGGTCATATAACACACATTGTCCACAACTCATCGCTAACGTAACCTGTGTGTGTGTGTATAGATGCGTGTGTGTGTGTGTGTGTGTGTGTGTTTTACTCTTATGTAGCCTTCTGTTTACGTTTATATATTTTCCCATGTGCAATGTGTGGGTGTAAAGGTGTCCAATGTAAATATACATTGGGACATCACAATTACTGCATATGTAAGGAGGAGCCTGATGCTAAATCCGCGCCTGTATCCATGGCAACGAGACCAGGAAGATCTCCGTCAGGCACAGAATTGCCTAAAGATGTATGGTTATATATGCAAGCATGGAAATTAGGGCTGCACGATATGTTAAAAACATCATGTCAAGATTATTTTTACAGATACTGAGATTAACGACTAGTTTGGGAATCACAAATTACATTTTTAATGAAAAAACTATTAAAATTTATGACAATCATGGGGTCTGTACCAAAGAAACATGTTTACTTAAATCTGGAGGATGAGATTTGTAGATCTCTGCAGAATTACAGTACTTCATCATGATGCTGTTTTATCACACACACATTTTACATTAATCAAATAAATTGCAGCCCTGGTGGAAATATAAACCTTCATCTAGGGTTGTAACTAGTGTTTGAATGTGTGAATGTTTGACATGTTTGTTTTAAAAAGCTAATTTGTTGGCAATGTATCATAGCACATTTTATGAGCCAGTAGGATCTCTGTTTTATCCTATGGTCTACTTCTAGATTTTATGATATTATTAGTATATTATTTCATTATATGATCTTAATACCATCTATTTGTTCTATATTTATCTATACATTTCTTTGCTGACCCAGTTTTACCACAGGTTCATTAAAGTTTCATCTAATCATGTTCTCTACACAGTAGAAAAGGGAAAAGGTAAAACCTTAGATCATGGATGATGTATTTGTGCATGATCAGAGGTTTCACCAATCCAGTGAGATTGGTTTTATCTCTTGTTTTATCTTCCAACCTTCATTTATGGTCATTAACTTCAGGTAGTGAATAATGATGAAGAATGATGTGAATACAAACAAATAAAATGAGTTTCCTGCATAGGATGTTTGAGCAGGAACATGATGAGAAATTGAAAGGAGTAGAAATGCAGACCCAGAGGAAAAATTACAGAATCCTCTTTTACATTGACAGGAGAAAGTTTTGGTGGTTCAGCCATCTGTTAAGAACACTTCCTGGAGGCCTCCTTTTAGAGGTATGGCCATATCCAACTAGGTGAAGACCTCAGAGCAGATCCAGAGGAAGAATTACCTAACCCTTCTTGTATTGCCCGACCTATAAATCAGCCAATTTTTTGCGACAGAGGCTGACATTGTGCACCTTGCAATGTGGGAAAGGCACTGACATCCTTGTTATACTAAAGAGGGGTTAACACATGGGTGGTTTTGTAGCATGCAATGAATGAGACTACTGTAGATGGTAGCTGTCTACTGTAGCATAAAATCACTGTTGTAACATTCAAAAAATTTAAAGATCTGTCAGCATGTAGCCTATGACCAATGACTGACATGAGAGGGCAGAATAGAGAAAATAAAACATGCATTAGCCTGCCACTCTAAAGATCTATAGTAAACTTAAATTAATGGTTTTGTACCTAGGCTACATGGTGTGGCACAAGTGAGCAGCAAGCTAGAATAATGCCTGTTCATAGTAAGAGTAAAAATGACTATGAATGATGTAAAGGCTTGCACATGTACCCCTGGTAGTTGTGAGTTGTGCTGATTTGACATGAAGGCTTGTAGTTTTGCAGCCACAGCATTTGTAACCCAGAATTGGTAATGTGGTGAACTGGGTCAGGATCTGTATATTACAGAACCAGAGTGACATCGCAGCATGGAGGAGAATATGAAAATGGAAAGTAGAGTGTTAAATCATGCATGTTTCCTGTTCTCTTAACCACAATGGCACAATTGTTGGCATTTGTTCTTTTTTGTTATCAACTAAAATGCTTCAGGAGTTTCACCAGGCTCTGTGGACACTCAAAAATACATTCAGGACCAAGATCAGGAGAACCAGAGATAGAGCAACAGGGAGTGATGTGGAGCCTGGAACTGTTTGCATGGGTCAGATCCTGTTGTAACAGGGTGAAGCCCCTCATCCTACTGCTTTTCTATCAAATATTCACCACCTCCTGCAAAGCTAACATTTAAACACCAACAGCTAGCAGAGAGAGGGAGGGCAGAGGGAGGCAGGGAGAGCTGGATGGGGGTTGGGCAGGTTAAAGACATTCATAATCCAGAGCAAAGAGAATGCCTGCTCCTATAACCAATCCTCTATTTTGGGAAGTGCCTGTCTGTCCCTGCTGTGTCCTCAAACAAGAACAGCGGAGCAGCTACATCAAAAGACGATGCTTTTAGAGCAGCATTTGGCCATTTTATATCTCTAAGGCCCCGAATCATGAATTCATTGTACATGTGAGACAGAGAAAGTAGATGTGGATGTTCTTTGGGGGTATAAAGGGAGGATTGAGACTCTTGAATTCAGGCTAAAGAACTAAGTCTATTATTAGCTCCATGTAACTGCTGCCAACTGGAGCGCATGTGTGTGTTTGTGTGTGTGCCAAACACATCAGCCATCAGAAAAACAGTAAATCCAAAGAGCAACGTGTGCATGTCCTTGCTCTGATACAGATTAGATGAGCACACGCACACTCATAATGAGATTTAAACAGTCAATTCCATTATTTTGGCAGGGGGTGTGGTGTTAAAGGCTTGGGGCAGGGGCCGCCGTCTGGCTTTGCCATTTAGAACAACCACAGGCAACGCTGTCCTGACATCTAACATCCTGAAACGAGCATGTGCATTTGTGCTCCCATAATGTTCTCCATCTATTCTAGCTCTCCTCTGGAGGCTGAATGTGTGTCAGAGATGAATTTTGCATATGTATGAGGAAGAAGAGGAGGAGGAAGGAACTGGGACAGCAAAGTGGAGCATCATGACCAGGAGTTGCTATTGATCCACACAAGAGAGGATGAACCTGCACAGCTGCTTCACCTTCACTCTGACCTTTTATCTGAAAGCTAATGCTTGATGAGTCCAGAGGACACATTGTAAGCAACAACTGCAGCTTTCGCTCTGCATCTAAACATTGACACTGTTTGCTGCTGTCTCCTGTGCACTAATTAAATGTGTTTTCAGTCTGTACAGTGTTTGCAATTTCCTCCCATTCATACAGTGTGCTAAATAAACATTCACAACTTTACATAAAAATTTGAATTGAATTGAAATTGAATGATTTGCCGTCGTGGCCTGAACCATGAGCAACAACGTCCACAGTTTGAATTTAGCTGGGGACCTTTTAGATTGCCCCCTGAAGGTTAGATTATTCAAATCATCCGTCAAAAAGACTCAAGCCAACTCATAGGACCACAAGCACAGCAGGCTGTAAAAGTCAGAGTATCAGAAATACCAAACTAAAAAACTAACAAGATGGAAACAGAGAGAGCAGCACAACTTTGATGCTCTCAGCTCCAGGGCCAAATATTAGCAAAGTCTACGTTTGAACCAGTCACTGGTACAACCTCCTGAACTGTTAAGTGTGACTGACAGAAGCCAAGCAGGAGAGGCGCTCTGTGATGTGCTAGGATATTATATAACTTAACTATAACAGACACAAACTTTTAAATACTGTATTAACATACTGTTAATATGTATAAAATGGCCCCAAAACATTTTTAGAAACTGTGTAATTGAAGCAAAAACCAGGTTTGTCCTTATCTAGACACATACCATGTCTGCTTCCCTGTATGCTCCTTCAACATGTGCAATATTCAGAAATAAAAATTTCCAGGTCTCTTGGGTCTCAACGCAAATGATGGTAATTGATCATGTGCTACAGGCAAACATGATCAGAAGAGACAAACATTAGCAGTGAGTGTGTGTGTGTGTGTGTGTGTGTGTGTTTACGTTTCTTACCTCTCCATAGTCGGTTGTAATGATAAGGGTTCCATCTCCACAGGAGTTGACTGTGCCGGGAACCAGCTGCTCCTTCTCTTTGACCCAAACACGGGCCCCCTGGATCACAGACACAAACAGAGACTGAAGTTAAGCAGCGCAACCAGTACGGAGTATTGGTTACATAAAGTGAGTAAACAACTGGTGACTAAGACGTGGCAGGTATCCTAGAGTACTGTGATGCTCTTATTTAGAGGTATATATGTTTGAGTCACACAGGAAGAGTTAATCTGAGCTAATATCTGTTGTTTACAGTGGAGCTCTGCGATAAAAGACTGTGAGAAGTCAGCTCTACAAGTGTATCACAGTGAACTGCTAATGCATACCAGCCAACAGTATCTGTGGACAAAAAGGCAAGCACACACAACTTGACCATGATGATTTCTGTAACGTTCAGAAACCGATAATCCAACATTCACACCCACTTCACACCGTGATTGGCCAAATCCTCCTTTCAATTTCCTCTCTCTAGCTCTCTTTTTTCATTCTTGACACAACCATTTTGCCACTTTTCATGTGAATGACCAAATGGAACTGATGCCTTCAAGAAGTGAAGTCCTCCTATTACAACAATATCACATCTCCCCCCTCTCTATCACGACTTCTGACCTTGTCTTCCATTGTGGCCATTTAACACTTTTGATTTCCAACGTGGTTGAACACGTCTTATGAACTAGTTCTGTTCTAGCACAACCCGACTCTTTGCTGCAGACAGTCCTTTAGGTTAATTTCTACAACATGTAACACAGTCTGCATGCATGATGAGTGTGCATGGGTGCACACAGATGTCACAGATGTGTTTAATGAGAGAGGAAGACTTCTGAACATCTGGACTGGCAACAATGCTTGACATCTGTGTGCATGTTTGTGCGTGTTTGGGCATTTGTGTGCGTGTGTGTGCGTGTGTGCATGTGTGGTTGACTTAGGGTCAGAGGAAGTGTGCTCTTTCCACACAGACAAAGCCCTCTTTCACACAGTAACTGACCTCTGACCCCCAACCCTCAAAAAGGGGCACAGCATAACAGTGGAGAGAGAGAGGAGAGGACAGAAAAGGAAACAAGAGAGGAAGAAGAGGAGGCAGTCAACGGGGCTACTGAAGTACTCTAAAGACAGGAAATGGACGACATGCGCTCCCCTAAACTTGTACAATTTAGTGTATTGCACCAATAGTAAATTACAATGAGGTCAGGAAGTCAACGATGTCACAATGAACAAAATCAGCCAATAATTCACAGCTGTAATTGATCAAATTAAAGATAAAGAGTAATCTTGAATAGATTTCAGCTTCTAAATGATAGGATTTGGTGATTTTCTCTGTTTTACATCAAGGCGAATATTTTGGGCTGTTCATCTGACAAAACTAGACATCTGAAGACATCACCTTGAGGAAGGGTATGATTTCACATGATTTCATGATTTTCTAACATTTTCAAACGAAAACAACTGCAGCCTTAAAACATAATCAATTTACTATCTGTTACATTCTGTGATGTTTATAGTAAAGTCTCAGCTTGTGTTTCTTGATTTTTTAAATCTGAGCAGTGGTGTGCTGGTGATGCATTGAAAGAGATCTTGCTGTATGAAAAAAGTTTGCAGACATAATTATTCAAGTCTAAAGCCTGAGAGGGTGTTTGAGCCCTGAAAAGACTCTGTGGGACACCAGATGTGTGCAACAGAGGAGGGGTGGAAATGAATTGGTTTAGCAACAGATGGTCCCAAACCCCCAAGCACTCCCTGACAACTTTTATTTCTTTCATTTTCCTCTCTTTATTTGTGTCTTTCTTGCACTCTGTATCATTCTGACACACACACATACACTGATGATAATAGAAAACCAGTCGTGCCCCAGGCTATGGAGTTAACCAGGCAGAAATCATTCACACACACATACAGTAGACTATATATACACACTGTTGGGTAGCTCAAGGTGAGGCTTAGGGGAAGAATGTCTGAATGCTTTTGGATACAGTATTTAACACTGCTGGCTTCTGCTAAACATAAAATGTAGTCCAGCATTTGCATCAGTGGGAAAGGCAGAAATTAAGATACACACTAAAAATGCACATCATAGTGTTGTTCTATCCTTATCAGGACATTTAATTGACTGCATTCAAACCTTTAATTTTGAGTTCCACATGACTTAACATGCCTGAATGTTGATTTCATAGGATGAATCTTACTGACTTTTCCATAAGCGCCACCATGTCAACTGTCAACTACGATGGCTTGCCATGAAATGTGATACATAAATGTATGTCTCCCTCTGGATGAACTGTAGTAACTTTGGTGATTGCTGACTTTTCGTCATCATTAGATCAATATAAATTTTTTTCCCAATACTTTGGTTTATGACCAAATACCAAAACTAATGGCATTCCCATCCGTCTTATCTGAACTTTATGTTTTGTGCTAATTCGCCAATGTTAGCGTGTTAACACACTACACTAAGATGATACACTTGGTAAACATGCAAACATACAGCCTCCTGGAGACATAAACAAATTAGTGCATATCTGTATTGTGATGGTGTTTGTGTTTTCAATTTTTTATAGGCTTGAACCAAATTGGCCTCATTGAGGATATTAAAGTCACTGCATGTTACATCGAATGCTAATTCACTCTAATCTTTGTGTGAACAAGCCTCAAACATCTAGAATCACTCTGACAACTGAAAAATTCAAGAGCCTCCACTGCGCTCTCTGTTGTTCTCTCCTCAGCAACTCTCTATATATAGCCCCCTCATCGCTCCTCTAGATCCCCTCTCCCTCTCTCTGCAGTCAGTCAGCCTGTCTCGTCCCTAAGTCCAGCTGAGATTCAAGCACACAGAGCCATTGTAACGATGGTGGTGCCGCGACTTGACCTGGTGACCACCCTGGCCTAAGGCTCTATGCTCACAGTTCAACAGCACTTCACTACATCCTGTTTTAACTGATAAAATGACCCCTGAACCCACTTAAAACTCTAATACTGGACCTTGAGCACCAGTCCTGAAGCACATAAACACATTATTCTCCTTTCTCCTTTTGCTCTCCATAAACCAGACTATAATGCATGTTTTAGCTTTCTGCCTCACTCTCTATCTGTCTCTTCTTTAAGTAAATTGGTCTCCAGTCCCAGATCGATGTACTTTGCCTGAGCCATGTGCTATCTCTGGGGGAAATGCAGCAAAGGGGAGACAGAGGGTTATAAATGACCTGCCAGCATTACAACCTACACCCACCAACACCCTTGTATTCCTGCTCCTCCTCCTCCCATCCCCCTGTCTATTATTGGCCCAGACATACAGGAATGGCCATGCATGACAACAAACTCCTGTGCTTTCTGTGTGCTGAAAGCTACATGTATGAAACACAAGTTTTTGCACAGATGCTTCCACACATCTCTAACGTTTCTCACAATTCTGCTCTGTGAAATTTAAACCGAACCGCAGTCAAACTCTGGCCTCCAGCTTCGTCCATCACCTTTTAGTCATGCTCCATTAAACCTTAACCAACCTCAATCGTCACTTTACCTTCTAACATGACCCCTAACCTCATATTTCCGACCAGGCTCTCTAACCAAAGAGTTGAAAGAGTACCAAGGCATGCTGCCTGAGGAATGCAATTCGAATCATCTCTTTGTGTTAAAGTTTAATAATATAAAAATAAATGGTGCTTCTGTAACGGTAGTGTCCTTTCAACAATGTCAAGTATAAGCTCTATATTAGATGATTGATAGCTGTTTTCATTAATCTATTCTGTACCTGTACCTGTACCTGAACACACCACTTGTTCAGCCTGGCAGCTATCCTGAAAACATCAAATGCATTTGTTTTAGGATACGTTTGAGGCAATAAACAGGACATTCCTGTACAGACCCTGTTCGAAGTACCTGAAAGAAGCATGACTTTTACAAAGCAATAAAGACAAGGACATATTCAGTGTGAAGGAAGCAATTCCAATTATCAGTAATTTGACTTTTTATAATATATTAACCGAACCCCTGAAAGGCAGGAATCTTTGGGTGGGTTAAAACATGCAAAACATCTACTATATTCCTGTAGATATAGCATAATCCATAGGATCAAATCATGTGGTTCAATAATATATTTCTCTTTCCTCCATGTATCAAGGCCTCTATGCACGGGGAAGGTTGGCAGGGTTGATTATACAGAGAAGAAAAAAGGAAGAACTATTAAGAAAATCCTGACCATCTAATAATCTTTCATTACCAAGCACACAAAAGAAAGCATCCCCTGAGCATTTGGCCCAGACTCCTGAACAGCTGTATGTATGTGTGTGTGCGTGTGTCTGATAAATGCCTTGTTTCTGCTCAGGCGATCACATGGACGCCCCTGCCATTTGACGGAGACATCGCCCAGGAGACCCTCTCTGTAGAGGGACCTCAGATGAGAGACGCTACCGCCCCGACAAACACTGACCACCGACCCAAACATAGGACAGATGTATGCTGGCATACTTTTTACGTTAAACTGCACATTCGACAGTCACTCAAATTAGCATCTTATTACATAAAAACACACACAAACACACAGTAGATGCACAACGCAGTCACTCTGAGTCAGGACGTGATTAACACTATCTCAAAAATTAACATAACAAAACACATTTGCACGCATAATAGGTTCATGGGCAGAGTGTGTGCAGGTAGACAGGCAAGCAATCATTTCATTCAGGCCAAGTGAGATGATTGGCTGGCTCACTAAAAAGAAAAAAGAAAAAGAGGGACATAAATGAATGACAGCCACAGAAAAGGGGAAAAGGAGTGACTCACAGGAACAGAAGCATATCTGACAACCATGTACTGACAGGAGGACAGAGGAGAGGAGACGGACATGACAGAGAAACAGGGGTAAAGAGGGACAATGGTGATGATAGTAGGGAATACACAATAAGTAGAAAACGGGAGCAAAGGTTAAAAGTAGAGGAGGCTGAGGGAAGACACAGAATGACAGACAGATGAATAAGTGATGAGAGAAACAGCTGACCAGTAAGCAGCTAATGGAAGAATACTAAAGACCAGCATGGAGGTGGGAGGACACAGTGGGATCTCTGGAGACT